CTTTGGCCATGGAAACGGAATCGAACACGGTGCTGTATTCCTATGTGGATGACTGGGTTCTTTTGCATCCGGATCCTGAACACCTCACTAGAGCAATTGTGAAGATGAAAACCTTGGCTGACAAATTTGGTCTTATTCTTTCGCTTGCCAAATCAGGGGTATTTGCAACTGATCACAAGAAAGCGAAACAACTTCAAGGGCACCTTGCTCATCAAGGGATTTCTATTGGACTGGGAAAGAACTTCAAAGGTCTTGGGGTAAATTTCCAGACGGCAAAGCAGCTCAGCGCACAACTCCGTGATGAGCGATGGCAGAAGGCGAAAATTCTTCTGAATCGTTTACAATATATGCCGTGGACACAGCTTGTCAAGACACAAATTATTGTCCGTGGCATCTTACCCCTGGTTTTCTTTGGTGGGCAGACCTGGATGGCGGGAAAAGACTTCATGCGAGAGGTCAGGGCGAAGTGCAATCATACGGTTTGGGGGAAACAGCAGTACCATCTGCATTACTTGGCCCCCCTCTTCTCAGGGCAAACCTACGAGCCGGTCAGGTATTTGGCTGGATATAGATTTTCATCTTTCCTTCGGAACCTGGCCAGAGACCCTGAGGTGGTGAAGGAAGTTTGGAGCCTTGCCGTGCACAACAAAGCATATTTCAAAAAGCAAACAAGAGGCACAATTTCCATGTTACAGCATCAACTTCATGACCTTGGTTGGAAGCTACAAATGGATGGGACTTGTGAGTCAGTGGGAGGATGGTCGTTCAAAATCTGGGATATTTCTGCTGCCCAATTCCAACAGTTGGGGTGCAAGATGATTGGGAATATGGATTGCTCCAACACCTACGGACCAAGCAAAATCTTGAGAACATCGAAACCTTTTCGGCATTTCGCTCGCAGTCCCCTTCGCTGCCTGATCCTTTGTTGGAAGGTTTTATGAGAAAGGTTCGATTGGGTGGTCTTTTCCCGCAGAAGAGGAGGTCACATGTTACTGGTTCGGATGATCAAACTTGCAGGCACTGTGGATGTTTGGATACAATGAGGCACAGAGTGTATGAATGCCCTGCTACCTATTCCATTCGTCAGACTTTGGAGTGGACTGAAGTATCGTCTCAGCCTGATTCCATTCTTTTGTCTGGGCTGTTCCCGCGGCTTCCTGGCTATGAAGACTACCTGCAACAATTGGATAAACTTGAGTGCCCGTCTGTGACTGATCCACCTGTCTCCCCGTCACGCTTTTCGTTATTTACGGATGGATCGGCGATTTACAACAAATGTCCGTTTACTCGTTTATGTGGATGGGCGGTCACTTGTGCTCATGATGCTGGGCCTCAGAATACCACTCTGACTGCTGGCATTTTGCCAGGTCGGCGACAAACAGTGTTTCGTGCAGAATTCCATGCAGTCAACACAGCCATTGCACTGGTTCATGCTGCTGATATTTACACGGATAACCTGGCAGTTTCTCGTATTGTTGCACACCTTATTCTGCATGGTTATTCGAGTGAGAGGTGGATGGCACACCATGACAGAGATTTGATTGTTACATGTTCCAGATTGCTCCAGAGGCAGCCTAGAGGAGCTTACACAATCACTTGGATCAAAGCTCACAGGTCTCCGACTTCTGCTGCTAACAACCATGATCTCTGGATTATTCACCACAATGGTGCTGCTGATTCTGCTGCTAAGAAGCCCCTACTGTGTATTCCCATGCCACTCAAAGCTGCACACGAAGGTCTCTGTGTTCGTATCTTGCAAGACACTGCTTTGAAACTACAGCTGTGCAAAGTACTGCGTATGGTGATGGATGAATTTCCTCAAGGTCTCTGAGTGCATGTAGTTTTTTGACCCTTTGCTCTGTCCGCCTAATGTGGTGGTGTAGTCACGTCTCTTACGACCGGACTTCGCCATGTCAAGTTGTGTGTGCCTAAACCCTATCCCCAAACCCTAAGCCCTAAACCCTAAACCCTAAACCCTATCCCCAAACCCTAAGCCCTAAACCCTAAACCCTATCAAACCCTAAGCCCTAAACCCTAAACCCTATCCCTAAACCCTAAACCATGGATACTCTCCTCGGGCTGAGGATTTTGGAATCCTCGGGTCCCGAGCTGCTTCTTGTTCGCAGTGTCGCCGTAACAACCCTAAACCCTAAACCCTAAACCCTAACTTTGGGGCCTATGGCTTGTTGAGGGTTTAGGGTTTGAAAACTGTGGGTGAGGGGCGCAGGGTTTAGGTCTTAGGGAAGGGGGGGTTTAGGGGTGCAGGGTTGAGGGTTTAGGGCTTAGGGTTTAGTGCTTAGGGCTTATGGTTTAGGGTTTATGGCTTCTTGGGCTTCCGTTGTTGACGTTGGTACTGTTTGCTGCTGCTGCTGCTGCTGCTGCTGCTGGGGAGAAGCGTAGCTTCGACATGCCAGGGTCCAGCGCTTAGAGTTTAGGGCTTAAATAGGGTTTAGGGTTTGAAGTTTCGGGTTTAGGGTTTAGGGTTCAGGGATTGAAATTTAGGGTTTAGGGTTCAGGGTTTAAGGCCAATTCGAATGTGGCTGAATAGAGAAGATGAAGCTGCTGTTGCTGCTACAACCGCAAATGCTTGTCTGTGCAGAAGCTCCTACTCCTCCTCCTCCTCGTCCTCCTACCACTACCGCTGCCACTCGTAAATCGGCACTTTCTGTGCTGAGCTGCACATCCTCATCATCCCAATCCCTATTCCCCAGCAATTAGGTTTAAAGGTTTTGTTGCGTTTAAGGTTTAGGGTTTAGGGCTTGGGGTTTGGGGTTTAGGGTTTAGGGTTTAGGGTTTTTAGGTTTGGGGCTTACGGCTTTCGGATTTTGGGGTTTGGGGCTTGCGGCGTGAGTCTCGGCTTTTCTCTTCCACTCCAATGCCTCTGGCTAACCGTGCACCAACAGAACCTACTTGGAGGATCAGTGGGACCTAGCAACTGGGCTATGGGTTTAGGGTTTAGGGTTATTCTTACGGCTTACGGTAACTATGCATATAAAACTACTTTTAGCCCCAATTGAGGCACTTATAACTTACAACCACGCTCGCTAAGTCCCACACCCCCCCCCCACTTTATAATAGATGCCTTTAAGGATCCCTTTAAGGAACCCTTTGAAGGATCTCTTTACGGATCCCTTTAAGGATCCTCCAAGAAACCCTCAGCAAGTGACTGCATGCTGCTCAGCTCATGCTGCAGCCGACCTGCGAGAAAGAGATTGGGGCTTAAGGGTGCAGGGTCTAGGGTTTAGGGT